ATTTTTTGGTTGCAGCCATTATTGTTGTCTGGCGGTCCCGGGCTGGATTCGAACCCGCCACCTTAGGTGTATGTGGCTGGCGCCTTAGCCGCTTGAGCCATAGGCGCCAAGCCAGAATTAGAAACCTTGACTAGACCTATATCAATCACTGAAACGAAATCTCCCAAAAAAGAAAAGTCCAGGACCAGATAGATGGCTTCACATCAGAATTCTATCAAATATTTCAAGAGGAACTAGTACGTATATTATACAACTTTTTTCAAAGCATAGAAAAAGGAATACTTCCCAACACATTCTATGAAGCAAATTATCACTCTGATCCTTAAACTAGGAAAGGACCTAACAAAGAAAGAAGAGTTTAGACCAGTATCATTAACGAATATTGATGCAAAAATATTCACTTAAGATCTTAGCAAACAGACTTCAGCAACGTATGAAAAAAATTATACACCATGATCAAGTTGGTTTTATTCCAGGGTTGGTTCAACATATGCAAATGTATAAATATATCGCATCAATAAAATAAAAAACAAAGACCATATGAGTCTTTCAATTGATGCAGAAAAAGCTTTTGGTAATATCCAGCATCCTTTCATGATCAGAACACTTAAGAAAATAGGCATACGCTTGGCACCTGCAGCACAGTGGTTATGGCACCAGCCACATATACCAAGGCTAGTGGGTTTGAACGCGGCCTGCACCAGCTAAACAATGAAATAAATCTGTAACAAAAAATAGCCAGTCATTGTGGCAGGCACCTGTAGTCCCAGCTACTCTGAAGGCTGAGGCAAGAGAATCACTTAAGCCCAAGAGCTTGAGGTTGCTGTGAGCTGTGATGACACAGCACTCTACTGAGGGCGACATAGAGAGACTTTGTCTCAAAATTTAAAAAAGCATAGAAGGGACATTTCTTAAAGGCCATCTACAGCAAACCCATAGCCAATAGCATACTGAGTGTAAAACTGAAAACATTTCCACTCAAATCAGGAATTAGGCAAGGATGCCCACTGTCTCCTCTGCTATTCAATATAGTAATGAAGGTCTTAGCCATAGCAACCAGGCAAGAGAAGGCGATCAAGGGTATCCAAATAGGGTCAGAGGAGATCAAACTCTCACTCTTTGCTGATAATATGATTCCATACTTGGAAAATCCCAGGGACTCAACTACAAAACTCTTAGAAGTGATCAAGGAATACAGCAGCGTCTCAGGATACAAAATTATTACTTACAAATCAGTAGCTTTTATATTTGCCAACAAGAGTCAAGCTGAAAATATAGTCAAGGTTTCTATTCCTTTTACAGTAGAAGATGAAATATCAGGGAATTTACCTAAAAAAGGATGTGAAAGATCTCTTTATAAAGACAGCTGAAGATGTTAACAAATGGAAAAACATACCATGCTCATGGCTGGGAAGAATCAACATTGTTAAAAATGTCCATACTTCCCAAAGCAATCTACAGATTTAATGCAATCCCTATTAAAGCACCATGGTCACAGTTTAAAGAGCTTGAAAAAATAGTGCTTCGTTTCATATGGAATCAGAAAAAACCTCGAATAGCAAATACATTACTCAGAAATAAGAACAAATCAGGAGGTATCACATTACCAGACTTCAGGCTATATATACTATCAATCTATAGTGATCAAAATAGCATAGTATTGGCACAAAAACAGAGAGGTAGATCTACGGAACAGAATAGAGAACCAAGAGATGAACCCAGCTACTTATCATTTGATCTTTGACAAGCCTATCAGACATATTCAGTGGGGGAAAAGACTCCCTATTTAACAAATAGTTCTGGGTGAACTGGCTGGAGACCTGTAGAAGACTGAAACTGGACTTCCACCTTTCACCATTAAAAATTGATTCTCACTGGAAAAAGACTTAAGACATGAAAGTATAAAAATACTAGAAAAGAGTATAGGGAAAACACTTCAAGAAATCAGCCTGGGAGAATATTTTATGAAGAGAACCCCTCCTGGCAATTCAAGCAACACCAAACATACATTATTGGCATCTGATCAAACTAAAAAGCTTTTGCACAGCCAAGAGCACAGTTAAGTAAAGCAAACAGACAACCTTCAGAATGGGAGAAGATTTTTGCAGGTTATGCTTCCAACAAAGGTCTGATAACTAGAATCTACACAGAACTCAAAATAATCAATAAGAAAAGAACAAGTAACCCCATTTCTATGTGGACAAAGGACTTGAATAGAAACTTCTCTGATGAAGATAGGCACATGGCCTGCAAACATGAAAAAATGCTCATCATCCTTAATCAGAGAAATGCAAATCAAAATCACTTTGTGACATCATCTAGCTCTAGTAAGATTAGCCCACATCACAAAATCCCAAAACTACGTATGTTGGTGTGGATGCGGAGAGAAGGGAGTGCTTCTACACTGCTGGTGGGAATGCAAGCTAATACAACCTTTTTGGAAAGAAGTTAGGAGAATACTCAAGGAACTAAAAGTAGACCTACCATTCGATCCTGCAATTCCTCTATTAGGTATATACCCAGATGACAAAAAATTATTTTACAACAAAGACATCTGCACCAGAATGTTTATTGAAGCCCAATTCATAATTGCCAAGACATGGAAACAGCACAAGTGCCCATCAACCCACAAATGGAATAACAAATTGTGCTGTATGCACACCACGGAATACTAGGCAGCCATAAAAAGATGGAGGAGACTTCACATCTTTTATGTTTACCTGGATGGAGCTGGAACATATTCTTCTTAGTAAAGTGTCTCAAGAAGCAAATAAAAAGTATCTAATGTACTCAATACTACTATGAAATCAATATATAGTCACCTACACATTCATAAGAATGGTAAAACATAACTATAGTCCAGAAAGTAGAAGGGAAGAAGAGAAAGAGGGGAGGGATGGGGGAAGGTGGTAGGAGAGAGGGTATTTGGGGAGGGAGGAGCTTACCTAATGTGCATGATGCAACGGTACATTTAAAAACTACTAGTGAGTATATAATTGTGATGGATGTGTTACTTAGTTCAATGTAAGCATTTCACATTGTCTATCAAATCAGTACACTGAACCCCATAAATGCATCAATGCACACAGTTATTTATTTATTTATTTTGAGACAGAGCCTCAAGCTGTCCCCCTGGGTAGAGTACCGTGGCATAGCTCACAGCAACCTCCAACTCCTAGGCTCAAGCGAGTCTACTGCCTCCGCCTCCCAAGTTGCTGGGACCACAGGCGTCCACCACAACGCCTGGCTATTTTTTTTTTTCGGTTTCAGCCATCATTGTTGTTTGGCGGGCCCGGGCTGGATTCGAACCTGCCACCTTAGGTGTATGTGGCTGGCACCTTAGCCACCTGAGCCACAGGCACTGAGCCAATGTACACAGTTATGAATTAGAAAAAAAAAAAGTAGGTCAGATGTCCTACTCTTTTGTCCATTTATCATACCATCTATAACCCGTTAATTTTTGCCTCTGCTGAAAAACTGTAAAAAATGTTTCCAGAGTACCAGGCCATCAATTATACCCAGCCTGATGTTTTTACTCCTCAATTTTCGAGACTTTTAAAGTACGTTTCATCTTTTCTCTAGTCTGTCATAGGAAAAAAATGCTTCAAAGAGAGTAACATTAAGTCCAGCAACATCAGGAATTCTAAGAGACCAAGTCTCAATAAAGGAGTCAGTGCAATAGAAACATGAGCTGATCAGGAGGAATATTCATGCTAGAAAATATACATATAAAAAGATGTTTATAAACAACAAATGTATAAAAACCTTGATCAAATGCCAAAAATAATGGGAAGTATTTCAATTCCATATTATAATTAGACATTATTTTCCTTATTAATGAAAAATGGGAGCTAACAGTATAGTACCTTAAAATCATTACCTTTTTAAACTCTAGTCATATATTAATGGCAGGAAAGCTATTTTACTTTTATTTTGGCCATAACAAACAGGTACCTAGTACCTACTAAGTGCCATGCCATGTGAATTAAAGACAGAAAAGACAGCCTCTCCCCTAAGAAGATAATTGTAGCATAACAGGAAGAGATAATGGAGCTGCAAGGCCGCAGGAGGAAGCCAGAGGGCAGTCTAACATGCACAGGACCCTAACCTTGCCAGTGGGTATCAAGAAATGCTTCCTGGAGGTGCAGACAACGCTGAGTTGGTAAGGATAAAGAGGCAGTAACCAAGAAGAGGAATAGCTAGGAGACAAAAGACTATGAGTACACTCCAAGTCAGTGTTTTTCAACCTTTTAAATCTCACCGCACACTTGAACCAATAGTTAAACTTCTACAGTACACTTTAATTATGTTGATCAAAATTTTTAAAAAGGTAATAATATACTTACTGTGCTTTGAACATTTTTTGAAAATAATTTAATTAATGGTCTTTAAAAGTTTCCATGGCACACCAGTTGAAAATCACTGTTCTGAGTACATCAATGGGATAGAGTACATTCTATGCTCTCTAGGCTCCAAATTCAAAGACCATTTGCTAAATTTTTTTTTTTTGCAGTTTTTGGCCAGGGCCAGGTTTGAACCCACCACCTTTGGTATATGGGACTGGCGCCCTACTCCTTGAGCCACAGGCACCGCCCTAATTATTTTTATCTTGAACAATTTTAAGGCTTCAATGCCCCCAAAAGCTTATTAAATAGGCCCCAGCTCCAAATTTAATGGAATGCCTATAATTGTATATAGATATAATTTGTTTTCCTCAAAGCAAGAACATTCAGTAGGATCCTGGAAAGACAGGAACCCAGTTCAGTGGATGTTGAGCCCACTCACCTTCATCTACACCATCCACTTCTGCATCTGAGTCAGGGGCTTCCTGGTCCTCTCGGTCATAGCCATCTAAGTAGTTCAGCTGAGGCAGGAGCTTGAAGACACTCTCTCTGTAGTCATTCAGGTTAGTAACCTCACAGTTAAAGAGGTCCAGGCTTTTTAGACATTCCAACTTTTTCTGAAGAAAAGGATCAAAAACAACTCTTAAACCAAAGAAACATAAGCAACCAGGTGCATCTTCTCAATAGGTAAAACTTTATATTTCATTGGCTGCTAAAGTCAGCCTTGTGTGTTAAGAAAAAACATCAAGTTCTTTGCAACCTTGATGTTAGGTTACTAACCTTTAACTAGTTCCTCCCTTTCCTACATTTATTTCCCCAGAGAACTATGTCTTTTTCTGCCAGCATTAGTCAAGAGAAATATAAATTTGGAATAAATTTACTAAAACCAGTTCTTTTCATAGTATGAAACAGTGTAATAAATTTGGTTCAATCTTAAGTTTTAATGTTTGAGTAATCAAACGGCAAGTAAGAATTTGATGGGTATCAAGCAGTCTGAGGCTCTGGGGACATAGTGTAGGAAAAAATACAGAGATTTGTAACATAGTCCTCAATCTCAATGAGCTTATAATTCTAATTTGAACACAGAGGTAAAACACTAGAGGATGAAATATAATAAAATATTAAATGTGGCAATGTAGCTATTTTCAGGGAAGACAGTCAATATAGATTGGAGAAAAGGGACAGGGACTCAGAGTTGGAACTTCTGAAATACACTCTTCTTTTGTAATTTTTGAGAAAAAACTGATATATTACCAGACTCTCATGATACAAAACTCTTCTGATTTTATCAAATCTTGAAATTCTGTTGCAATACCTTATTTGTGTGAAATCATAAGTTGCATTTATCTAAAATACTTAAGGTCTACCAATAAAAACTTGACCCAAGGCTCGATGCCTAGGGCTCAAGTGGCTAAGACGCCAGCCACATACACCTGAGCTGGCGCGTTTGAATACAGCCTGTGCCCTCGAAACAACGACGACGGCTACAACCAAAAAATAGCCGGGCGCTGTAGAGGGCACCTGTAGTCCCAGCTACTTGGGAGGTGGAGGCAGGAGAATCGCTTGAGCCCAGGAGTTGGAGGTTGCTGTGAGCTATGATGCCACAGCACTCTATCCAGGGCGATAGCTTGAGGCTCTGTCTCAAAAACAAGAAACAAAAAAACAAAAAAACAAACAAAAAAAACCCCCTTGACCCAAGAAAAGTTTTCTGAGTAGTTGAAGGGGATAGGAAAATGTCCATGAATTTTACTCAGATCTTCATTTGTTATTATATCCCGTGTACTAATATTTCAATTCTAGAGCTATTAAGTTTTAAGGGCAAGTTAAGAGGTGAGAGGACAGAGGCACTATTACAGGCAAGTCAGGAGATAGCAATAAGCAGTGACAGCAGGCTGAGCACAGTGGCTCACCCCTGTAATCCCAGCATTCTGGGAGGCTGAAGTGGGTGAATTGCTTGAACTCAGGAATTCAGGACCAGCCTGAGCAACAGTTTTCTACAAAAACTAGAAAAAGAAATTAGCTGCCGGCACCTAATAGTCCCAGCTACTCACGGGGGCTGAGACAAGAGGATCTCTTGAGCCCAAGAGTTTGAGGCTGCATTATACCTTTCTTGATGTATAATGAATGACTCCATGGCACTTTACTCAGGGCAACTGAGTGAGATTGTCTCAAAAACAAACAAACAAAAAAACCCTAATTGATAAAAGGAGCAACTATAAAAGGCAAACACAAAATAGCACATTGTCTGGCACCCTTTAGAATAAGGGCAATAAATGTAACCTTTAATGGATCTGAATGAGGAGAAAAAACTTGTTATTCTCTAAGGAAAGAATACTAAACCCCCCAAACAAACATTGAGATCTCTGTATGAAATAAGTTCTAAAAAAAAAAAAAAAAAGTAATAAATGTTGGTGCTTAAAAGACTGATACTTTATTGGAAAGCTATTCCAACACTCACAGGGACCTGGGAAGAAATGCAACAAAACAAAACCTTGTTATAGGGACTTGCGGTATTAGGGAGATACAGAAAGTAAAAATCTGCCTAGGGCTCTAGAGCAGGGGCTGGCAAATTGTGGTCCATTGGCCAATTCTGGTCTACCTGTTTTTATAAAGTTTTATTGCAACAGAGCCTCACATCTGTTTATGTACATAGGTCACTATGAAAGTTGTGAGATGGCTCCCTGCCTATAGCTCAAGCAGCTAAGGCGCCACCCACATACACCAGAGCTGGCAGGTTTGAATCTAGCCCAGGTGTGCCAAACAATAATGACAACTACAACCAAAAAATAGCTGGGCGCTGTGGCAGGCACCTGTAGTCCCAGCTACTTGGGAGGCTGAAG